ATGTTTTATTGTGTGAGCCGCCTGGGGGGGCACTTTGGCAGTTGCAGGCAGCATATAAATATGGGAATGAATGGACGTTATACCCAGGTTTGCACGTTGGCATGCCCCAGCCTTTTTTTAAAAAATGGTAAAAAGATTCTGCAGCGGAGCTCTGGTGAGCGTTTGTCCTTCAAGGAGACCTGACTGTTGGGGCGTGTGCCTGGTGACTCAGGAGCCCGTCTTTGGGTCTTGGAGTGGATGCCTTGCTGTGCCGTGCCTTCCCGGGGGCTGTTCCGCACCCCATCCCTGGGGCAGACGCGCGCCCCTTCCTTGCCACGTTTGGCCACGAGGAACGGATCCAGGCTGGCTCAGCTCGCAGGGTGCAGACAAACAGGCCCTTCGCTCGGGGATGGTGTTTCCCTGGCGCCCGTTGCCATGGAGACGGAGCTGCTTCCCCGGGAGGGTGGCCAGGCGGCTGCGGCCGAATGCAGGGGGCGCTGGAGGCCTGTGCGTGTGTCGGGGAGAGAGCGGGCCTTGGACCGGACTCACCGGCACGTCCTCCGTCCCTCCTTTGGACCTCGGCCCTCGCTCAGCTTTGGGGGCCAGCCAGGGACTGACCGCAGCGCTGCCTTTGGCAGGGAAGGGGGCCCCGCGGTCTCCCTCCGCAGCGTTCCCTGGCTGGGAACGGGCCGGAGGGCTGCTGGCTGCGGCAGGAGGCCGAGCGGATCGGCACTGCCAGGAAGAGGCCGTAATTGCAGGCAGAAGCACCGGAGCGGGGAGCCCTGGCGCCGGCTGCGCCAAGACGTGGGCCCTCCAGGGAGGGGGGGGGAGGCCAGCGGGCGCAAGGTCGTGGTTCCCGAGTTGATGGGAACGTCGGCTCCTTGTTTCTGGCCAGTCTAAACACACTCCAACCATCAAAATCATGCCAGGAGCCCTCGTTTCTCTAACCCCAACCCTACCCTGGTGCACACCCCTAATATGGGGCTACAGTTCCATTGAAAAGAGGGCAATTTTGAAAAAGCCCTCTTTGAGTAGCTTTTTCCTGGCAGCTCATCATTTCTGCCCCTTCTAAACGCATTCCAACCCTCAGAATCATGCCTGGACCCCTCGTTTTCCTAACCCTACCCTGGTGCACACCCCTAACCCTAATACAGGGCAAAAGTTCCATTGAAATGAGGGATTTTGAAAAAGCCTTCCTTGAGTAGGTTTTCCTGCGCTGCTCATCATTTCTGCCCCTTCTAAACACATTCCAACCATCAAAATCAGGCCAGGACTCCTCTTTTGCCCAACCCTAACCCTACCTGGTGCACACCCCTAACCCTAATATAGGAGTGAAATATCATTAAACGGGGCGATTCCAGGGCGCCGTGTGTGCAGGTCCCCGGCAGGGCTGCAGCCGAGCATCTCCCAGGCGTGGGGTGGGCGCAGGAGGGCCCTGCCTTGTGCTGAAGGGGGCAGTGCTCGGCTGATTCCATCTGCCTGATTCACAGTCAAAACACAAGTGCTCCATCTTTTGGAAATACCCAGACGGCCTTCCTGTGCTGAATGGGGAAGACAACACTCCTTGAAGGGGGGGGGGCATTGTGGAGGCTCATGGGGCTGTTTGGGCTGGGACAATGGGGAATGGGCCAGAAATCTTTGGCCGTGCTCCTCCGATTTGCATCGTCCACATTCGGCTCCCCCAGTGCTGTTAGCTACCAAGGCAGAAGCGCCTGTCCCCAGGCAGTCAGAATCATTTCGTCCTCAGCCTCCCCCCCACCCTGGTGGCCCCTGCACCTTTCCAGTTTTCCGCAAGATGCCCACTAAGGGGGTGTCCTCCGAGGGGGAGCCCCACTTGGTGCACAGGTGGCCCAGGTGCCTTAGCTTCCCTAGGTGGGGTTGAAGCCCTGGAGGGCTACTGCCAGCCAGTGTTGGCCCTACTGGGCTAGGTGGACCAAGCACGTGAAGGCAGCAGCTCCTCGCCTTCCTCGCTGCTGAAGTGGGGTGCGCCTGCCAGTGCCCGTGCCCCTTCCCCCACGCCCCCCGAAGAAGGAGGCCTGCCTGGGGAGGGCAGCCGACCTCTGGGGTGCCTCAGCTCCCTGCCCGGGACAGGGCCAGCCGCGGAGGGAGGGGTCCTCCACAGGAAGAGCCGTGCTGGACCAGCGAGGGGCCCGCGGCAAGGGCTCGCGCAGGAGCATGGGGCGGGGGACGTGTGCCCCTGCTCGTGTCCTCCGTGCCCTGCAGCGCAGCACAGCATCTGCGTCGCCCGTGTCGCCCGTACTCCGCAGATGTCCGAAGCGACACGGCCTCGCCTTGCGGGGGCGCTGCTGCGCTGCTTGGGCCACCGGAGCCGCCCTGTTGCAGACCCTCTCCAACCCCGCAGTGGCCCTTTCAGATGCAGGGATGGGGGCTGCCCAGGACGCGCAGCTCAGGCACCCCCCGAATGCAGGCCCGGGGCGCATCCCCCCAGCCCCCTTCCGAGTGCTGCCCGGCACGGCGTTTGCCCTGTCCGCAGCAGCCACGCCGCAAGTCCCCTGCGGCAGCCCCAAGGCAGCCAGTCCCCGCTAGCGCGGGTCCCCCCACGTGTCTCCTTGTGAGTTGGGATGGGTGCCGCAGCATGCGCTGCCCCAGCTGGGTGCTGAAGGCCGCCTCCTGCCCCCCGCAGGTCAGCCGGGGCTGCCAGGCGCTGTGCACGGAGCCGGCAAGGGGGGCCCAGAGGACTCTGAAGCACGAGGACGTCTGGAAGGAGCCGACTGAATTGGACAGTACGTGGCAGGTGCCGCCCCCGCGCCCCCCTCCTCACAGCCCTCTTGGCTGGCTGAAATGCTTGGCAAGCTCCAGGCAACCCCTTGTACACCCCCCCCCATAAACCCGACTGCTTGTTTGCTTATATCCCACTTCTCGTCCTTCCGAGGAACCCAGCTAAGCCAGCTTCATTCTCCTCCTCGCAGGCTCGTCAGGCCAAGAGTCTGCCGGCCCAAGTGCCCCAGCTGCTCCATGACTGAGCGGGGCTGGAACCCGGGTCGCCTGAGCCCCGCCTTGCCTCTTGCCCCCCCCCCCCCCGGCTCCCAAGTCGTGCAAGAACCGTGGTAGAATCGCCTGTCGACCAAGCGGGGCTGGCTTGGGCAGGAGCCGCTGCAACCACATTCGGACAGCGTTCCCCAACCCAGGGCCCCCCACAAGGGTTGGACGACCCCTCCCAGCCTCCCCCACCACTTGCGCTGCCGGGGGGCGGCTGGAAGGGGTCGTCCGGTCCGTCTGGGGGCCCAGGCTGGGGAAGTCCGGGCCGGGTGTTTGTGTCCAAATGCTGGGGGTGCAGTTCCGCAGGGAAGCCCTTGGCTGCGTCTGTTCGGCCAGGGGCGCGATCTGGGTCCCCCGAGGCGGGGCTGCTCGGCTCCAGCTCTCCCCAGACTCCCCCCGGATCGTCAGCCTCAGGGGCCACAATAATTTGGCTGCCGGGCCCGGCCGAATCACGGGTGCTGCGGGCAGCTGCTTGCTGGAAGAGGTGCCTGAAGAGGCCTTGTGGAGGCCGGACCGCCCCTCTTGTGGGGGCTTCCCACTAGCCCCACGGGCCCCCCAGCGGCAAACGGGGAGTGGCGGTGCAGGGGGGCGGTGGGGCCGGTGCATGCCTCAGTCTTCCGGGTTGTGTTCTGGCAGGCAGCTCCGACAGTGATGGAGGCAGCAGCACAGAGGAGGAGGAGGAGGAGGAGGAGGAGGAGGAGGACAGCCTCGCCTGGGCCGGCTTGGGGGATGCCACCACCCCACTCACCGAGTTCCGGTCCCTCAAGCAAGAGGCTGCCACAAAGATGATCCTTGCAGAGAAAGAGTCGCCCAGCGGGAAGGTCTGCCTCAGTGGTTCACGCTGCCCTTTTCTGGGGCATGCGCAGAGGGCTGGGCCGGTGGCGGGGTTCTTGCAACAGGACAAGCCCTGGCACCAGGCAGGGGGGGCAGGAAACACGTCCCAGGCAGAGGGCTGTGCGCTCGTCGTGAGACCCCTGCAGTAGCTTCAGCGTGGGGGGCCGCGGGCCGTGCGAACCAGGGCCACGCGGTGTGGCCGATGTGCTCAGACGGCGACTGGGGAGCTCCGGGCTCAGGTCCCACCTGGTGGAGCGTGGCCCTTCCTCCCTGGTCTGCACATCATCATAGCAGCTCACGGTGTATTTATTCCGAGGGTGCGTTCTTGCTGGGCCAAGGCCTGAGTGCGGCCACACGAGCCCCTGGGCCGGCCGCCTCCCTCGGCCTGGCGCCGGTCGTGGGGCACGTGGGCACCTCCGCTTTGCCCTTGCCCAGCCGGGGCGCCAACAAGCCGCAGTGTGCCGAACGCGGGCCCGGACACGCAGCCACAGGCCCTGCTCTCCAGGACGGTGCCAAGTCTCCCAGCAGTCCGAGGACAGGAAAGGGCAGCCGTACAGGAGGGGTGGCCGCTCGCCATCAAAGGCGCCTGCCCATGGAGGGCCCCCCCCCCACACTCCCTCCACAGCCCAGGCTTGCTTTTGTCCCAGACTGTCAAGGAGTGCATCTGGTGGGGGGGCCGCAATGGGGGGAGTCAGCTCAGCCCCACCTGGTCCCCTTTGATGTTCCCCCTGGCCGCCTCCAGCCCTGCTTGCGTGCGTGTGGGGGGGGGGGCCTGGCATGTGGACTTGGAGGAGATTTGTCCCTTATGGCCGGGGCGGGCAGGAAACACGTCCCCAGACGTTTTGGACTTCAGCTCCCAGCATCCCTGGCTCTGTGGCACGCTGGCCAGGGCTCCTGGGGCTGAAGTGCAGACCCCGGAGATCTGCTTTCGGTAAAACTGCTCGCTTCAGAATTTGGCCCCGCAGACGCCCTTCCCGCCAGACCCCTCATGCCCCTTTCTTCTGGGTTCCGGATGCATGCAGCTGGGCGACAGGCGCAGCAGCCGTGGGGGACGGGTCGGGACGCATGGGCGCGCAGGACCAGCGCCAGGGGCCCCCGCCCCGCCGTGCCTGCCCCTTTGCCGGGGCGCCTCGCTCACCGGGCTGCCCCTCTGCCCTCCCTGCCTCCCGGCCCCGCTGCAGCCCGCAGAGTCGCCACTGCTTTCAGTGATGTCCCACCTGCTTGCGTTCCTGGAGCGCTACTCCCAGGTGCAGCAGCTGGAGGAGAAGGCGGGCGAGTATCGCTCCCGCCTGCGCAGGGAGGAGAGCCGGCGCCGCAAGCAGCTGCGCGGGCTGAAGAAGGCCTTCAGGCAGCGGGTGAGGGACAAGCTCGGCGTGATCCAGAGCCTGGAGGGCATCATCTCCGAGCAGCAGGGCCTCCTGGACAGGATCCGCGAAGGTAGGCCTCCTCCTCCCCTCCGGGGCAACTGGGTCCGGGCGGGCGTCCCGTGGCTTGCAGGGCGGCCCCCCTTTCCACCTGCAAGGCGCGTCTCCGTTTCCTTGTGGAGTTTCCTTCACGGCTCTCTTGGCAAACCGGACAAGCCATGCAGGTCCAGAGCTGAGGTGAGAAAAGGCTGGCAGGAGCTCCTGAGCCGTCGGATGGAGCAGGCGAAACTTCTTCAAGAGCTGCGCTGCCGCAGCGAAGACTTGCCGGCCAGGGCAGCTCCGCAGGTTGCAAGAGACCCAGCGAGATTTGCAAGAGCTGAAACTGCCGAATCGACTCCAGTTCTTTGCAAGAGCAAGCGCATCAAAATCGATCTGTGCCTGCCGGGCCCCACAGCACATGGGCAACTCCGCTTACCGGTCACGACAGGGCTCTGGCCTGCGGTCCCAGGGAAGCCTGGCGTGCAGTCCGGTGGCCCCCTTGGCTGCTGCCGCTGCAGTGCCCGGCATTCCCGATGGCCTGGGCCAACTCGGGGCTCCATGCAGAAGGAAGCCCACCCGGACATCCGGAAGCATGGCAGCAGACAGTCCTGCCCCTTAGTGCACAGGGCTACTTGGAGGAGGCTGGGGCCACCTTCCCCAGACCCCCATATGGGCCGCATGTCATGGGACCCCCGCGGTGCGAGGTGAGTGTGTGGCTGGCTTTCAGCAGCCAACAAGAAAGCCCGGGGGTGGGGGGGCAGGTCCGGCTCCTCCTTCCAGGCCCAGTCACCCCCTGCCACCCCGCCTTCCGTGGAGCTGCCCAGGGCCTGGCAGGGACGAGAGGCCGGGGGGGGGGCAGAGCGGTCCTCTCCCCTGCCCCATCAGGAGGTTTCCAGGCACGGTCACGTCCTCAGGCGTGGATTCTGGCCACCCGGAGGCAGCAAGGGCTGCTCGCCAGCCCCGTGCCTGACCCCGGCTCTCCCCCGGCCAGGGGCGAAGCTGCCCTCCCCCTGCCTGCTGCACCCGGGGGCCACGGCGGGCGTGCACCAGCTGGTGGAGTCCCTCAGCGCCCTGCAGGGCGAGCGGAGTCGGCTGGCCGAGGAGGTGACCGGCCTGCGGCAGCGGGCGGAAGAGCAGGAGCGTGAGGCGCAGCGGCTGGCCAGGGGCTTCCACCATCAGGTGAGCCGGGGGCGGGGGGCTGTGCGCCCCCGCTGCCCTCGGGAGGAGTTGGACTACAAGTCCCGCCACTGGCTGGGGATGATGGGAATGGCAGCTCAGCACGTCGGAAAGGCACCGGGCCGAGGAAGTCTGGCTTATCGTGGGCTCCATGGATCTGTCGGGAGCTTCCTAGCAGCCGCCTCGAGCCTGCAGGGAGGGGTGGGACACACACGGCTCCAGCGCTCCGGCCGGCCGGCCGGCTGCAGGCACGCGCCCGAGAGCAAACCCAGGAATGGCGGCCGGCACGCGTGGCCGGGGAATCGGGCGCACGTGGTCCCGAGGCATGGAGCAAATTGCGCTTGGTTTACTCCGCTGCTCCTCACGCGGGGAGGGGGGATGCAGACTGGGCCCGTCTCTGAGTGTGGGGCTGGTGCCGCCCCCAGCCCCCCGCTGCACAGCTGCTGCTCCGGGGCTGCCCGTCCTCCAGCCCATGTCCCCCCGGGAGGCAGCTGCGCTCCCTTGTCCGCTAGACCTCTTGGAACGGAGTGGGAGGCGGTCTGAGGGGGCCGAGCTGCCCGTCGGCGCTGGAGCCCCAGCTCCCTGCAGAGCCCCCAGGTGCGTTCCCTGGCCCTCCCAGGTGGGGCCCAGACCCGAGTGCCTGACTGGTGAAAGGCACCCGCAGATGCTCTGAATGCCAGTTCATCCGTCTGCGGCAGCCCACATCCCCTCTCCCCACTGATTGCATTGTAAGCCTCTCGGGACAGGGACCGGCCTTTCTCCCCACCGAACGGATGGCAGCCCCCTGGGATTCCCAGTGCTCAGCTAGTGAACGGGGGGGGGGGCTGCCGGAGGGCGCAGGATGAAGGAGGCGAGCTCATGTGTCCAGCGCAGGGCGGCCCAGCCTGGCCCCCCTGATGTGGGGGTCAGCTTTGAGAGAGGCCGACGTCCCCTGTGCTGCTTTCCCGGCAGATCCAAGCTCTGACGCAGCAGATCCGAGAGCGCGAGGAGGAGCTGGCGCGGCTTCGCATCGGGACGGTGAGGAGCGCCTGGTGCCGCCTGCACCCCGGAGGGGGAGGAGGTGACGGGGCAGGGTCTCTTCTCTGCACGCACGGGGGCCGTGGAGGATGCTGCCGGGGGTGCTTGCAAGCCGGGTGATCCAGGCACTGGCCGGCCGCTGGGGCCTCCTCCCCGTCCCCCAGGGGGCTCGCCGCCCGCCCCGAGCCGGCTGGAGAGCGTGGCAAGCAGTGGGCTCCTTCCTGGCCCCAGGGAGTGACGGACTCCGAGAAGCGGATCCACATCCTGACCGCGGAGAACGAGGCGCTGAAGCAGAGCCTGAGGATGGCCCAGGGCCTCCTGCAGCAGCTGGCCGCGGCGTCCGCTCCGCCCCCAGCCCCGCTGGCCCAGGTGAGTGGGCGGGGGCAGCCTGGACCTGCCCCTGCTTTGCGGGGGGCGTGGGTGGCCAGCTGGGAGAATCCGCCTGGGAGAATTGAGGCCAAGCGCGGCCCACCGGACCGAGCCACGGGCTTCGGCGGAGGCGCTCCGTCATTCGGGGCCCCCGGCGTCCCCAGATCGTGAGCACCCCTTTGGGTTCGCCGGAGTCCTCCGCCAGACGTGGGGCAGGACTCTGGTGCGGTCCTGAAGCCACTCCGTCCCGAGGGACTTGCGTGTGGCCAAACGGGGCGCCGTGTCGCCCGTTGCGCGTTTCTTGTGTGGCTCCGAGCGCAACAGGCGGGGGGGAGATCCGTCCTTCGCTGTCCCGCCGCAGCCAGCACCGAAGTGAGTCCTAGTAGCAAGCCTCCCCTCGCTGCCCCCGAGGGCCTTGTAAAGCTCTGCGCAGTGCACCAGCGTGGGGCAGATTCCCGGGGCAGGTCAGGCGCGGGAGGGAGCAGCCGACCCTTCCCTCCCGGCGAGGCAGGGCTCCCGCAGGGGCTCTGGGGAGCAGGAGACCCCCGTGCCGGGTGGGTCCCCAGCCTGGCCTGACAGTGGGCCTTGTCAGGTGCTGAGCAGGTTTTCCAGCGCCAGTGGAAACCAGGAAGAAAAGTGGAGGCGGAACGGGGCTGGAGCAGAGGTTTTGTGGAAGGCGAAAAAGGAGGGCCAGTAGAAGCCACGCGGGCTGGTGCCGCCTCGTGGTTTGGGGTGTGTAGCCCCCTCAGTGGGGGAAATCGGGGCCTCCGCAGGGCTGGGGCGCCAGCGACGCTCTGGTCACGGCTGTGCAAATCCTGTGGGCAAGTTGTTTATTTTTAATTTTATTCATTAAAAGCTTGTGGCGAATGGCTCCAGTCCCCTCGGCACTTGGGGGCAGTTGCTGCCTTTCCATCCGGCCCACCTCACAGGGATGTTGTGGGGCTGAGAGGGAGGGTGGGGCGTGCCTCCTTGGGCAGGGGGGGCAGGCAGTCGGCACCACACGCCGCTGGGCAGGCCTGGAGTCGCGCCGGGTGCTCTTGCCGCTCAGGAGAACGAGGCGCTCCGTGCGCAGGTGCAGCGGCTGGAGGGGCGCCTGCGGCAGGAGGTGGATGAGCTGAGGGGCCTGGAGGCGCAGGCGGAGCGGCTGCAGGGGCGCAAGGAGGAGGCGGCCGGCCAGCTGGCCGAGCGGCTGCGGGGGCTCCAGCGCTCCCTGGACACCCAGGAGAGCCAGCCCCCCAGAGTGCAGGTGAGTCCCTGCGGACCCCCTCCTGGCCAGCCAGGGCGGCCCCTCTTTTCCCCTCCCAGCAGCCGCCAGCCAGGGGCTGTTCCTGGGGCCAAAAGGTGGGGTGGAATTTCTTTCCCAGGAAAAACAGCCCCTGGGAGGATTCGGAGAGGCTCTGACCTCTGCCAGCTGCTCCGGCCCCAGTTCCGGTCACCCCCCCAACCTGCTCATTGCTGGAGAAGGCTGTGGGGCAGGGCCCTGATCCAGCCTGGGAAGGGGCTGCCAGGACCAGAGCCTCCCCCCCTCCACACACCCACACACACACACAGTGGAGCTGCATTTTGGCCCCTGCTGGCTTTGGCTGGAAGAAAAGTCCCACCTGCCTGGGCCATTTGGAGGAGAATGGAGGGGCCCTGCGGTCAGTAGTGGGGAGCAGCCCCCTCCCCGACCGCTTCTCTCTCTCATTCCTTGAGCACTTCATTTGTATATCGCTCAATAACCAAGGGGCTTTTAAGAAAAGCTCAAAATCACACAAACGAACAAGAATGAACACAAAGCAATTCAACCACAGGGACTGCCATTGAATCAGCACAGAAGCATAGTGTGGGGGGCGGCACAGGATAAAATGCAGTACTAGAAATAATGTTGAAAAGTTAAAATGCTGGAAAATATAAGGGCCTTCCCTCGGCGCCAGGAAGGATGCAAAGCAGGCGCCAGGTGCCTCTGGGGTGCTCCTTCCACAGTGGGGGTCCCACCACCCAAGAGGCCCCCCGGTAGCCACCCCCCTCAGTGCCTTTGACCACCGGGCTTGTTTGGCGGGCTCGTCCCCCACAGTACATCGCCAGGACGGTGGAGGTGGACTCCGCGCACACCCTGCAAGCCCTGGCGGCTGTGGAGGAGCGGAACCGGGTCCTCGCGGAGCAGCTCTCCCGCCAGGCCGAGCGCTGCCGGCAGCTGACCGAGCAGCTGCGCAGCTCCGAAGAGGTGGCCGCTGGCCTGCGGCACAAGGTGAGGCGCCCGGGCCCGAGGCGGGTCGCACCGGCTCTGCCGGGCGGAGTGGGGGGCCTCCTTCAGCCCAGGGGCTGAGGTAGCCCTGGGCAAGCACCTCGGGGGCTACTGTCTGAGCGGGGACCTGCGTGTCCCGCTGGGGCACGTGCCCCCTGCCGCATGGGTCCAGGCCCCTTCGCGCCTCCCATGCCCTCCTGCACTCGCGCGCTCAGGTGTGCCGGCTGCCCTTCCCGAAAAGGCCCGCACTGCAGGAAGAGTTTTCAATCCCTGCACGGACCCCGGTGGCTCTTGGGATGCCCGACTGCAGGGGAGGAGCGGCCACTTGGGGGGCACCGCCTTGGGGAGGGGAAGGGTGAGCCCGTCCTCCGTGTCCCCTCCCCCTAAGAAAACGCCCGCCTGCACTTTGGGACGCCTCCCCGGCGCCTGCTCTGCCCCGGAGCCCCCTCAGTGCGGCCTTTCCCTCTCCCGGCAGATTTCCGCCTACGAGGCCGAGATCGCGGGGCTGCGGCAGGAGCTGCTGGCCGAGATCAGCCAGCTGGAGGCCCGGAAGGAGGAGGCCATCCGGGAGGCGGCCCAGTGCTCCCAGCAGCACCTCCAGCACCTGCGGGAGCAGCTGGCCGGTATGGGGGGGGCAGGCAACGGGCTGGGAGCCCCCAGAGCGGGCCATGCGGGGCTCTCCCCGCACGGCTGGCCCGTCCTGTCCGGCGTCGGGCACACCCCACATGCGAAGAGGGCCAGGGCGCCGAGGTGCAGGCAGGGCCTCCCCTTCAACCCCCGCAGGGTTTTTGTGAGGCCCATGCACTCCGCCTGGGAGGAGGGGCGGGCGGTTGGACGGACGGACGGACGGACGGACAGCGAGCCCACCGGCCCCTCCGCGCCTCCCACCAGGTGTGCAGCAGCGCCTGGGTGCCGTGCAGCCTCTCCTCCGGGGCGTGAGGTCCGACTACGCCAGCCTGCACAGGGAGGTGCGCAGCTTCGCCGACTGCTGCAACGCGGCGCTCGGGGAGGCCAGGAGGCAGGTGAGGCCGCGGGGGCGCTTCCCCACACCGCCAGCCGAGCGGAACGGGGGGTGCAGGGACAACGTGGGGGGGCGGGGGGGGGGGGGGCGGGGGGAGCCTGTCCGTGGCCACTGGGCCGGGTGGCGCTGCCTCGCCTCCCGTGTCGGGCGCCACACGCCTGCGGGCAGCAGTTTTGGGGCCCGGACCAGGCAGGCAGGCGCTGTGGCCTCGTCCGTCTTAGTGCCGGGCAGTGGCCCAGCGGGAGCGGGATCCGCACTCCAGCTGCGATGCCGGCGCTTTGCCGGTGGTGAGGAGCGGGCCGCGGGGGCAAGCCGGCAGTGGCCGGGGTGGCCAGGTGTCTGGCACAGGTGCACGACAGCAGGTGCGCAATGCGCTTCGGCTGTGTGCAGCCGCCTGCCGGGGAGAGAACTGGCTGCAGGCCCCGGGAGTCCCCAGGAGGACCCCGAGCGGTCCGTCCGTGGGGGGCTTGGGACTGGGCGGCGGCTCCCCGGCCCTCCCCCACGCAGCCTGGTGCCTCCCCAGATGTGCTCGGCCCTCGGCGAGGTGTCCCAGGCCAACCAGTCCTTGCGGGAGCGCTGCCAGCGGGAGGCGCAGCTTCGCAAGAAATACCAGGACCAGCTGCTGGAGCTGAAAGGTACGCTGGGCCCCTTCCTGGTTGTCCCCCGCCCTGCTTCCCTTCCCAGGACCGGCAGCCTTCCTCCCATGACTCCCTTTATGGCCACACCTCCCGGGCTGCTATGCATAAAAGCAGATAAGCCAGAAAGCACAAGCAAACCAGTCAGATGTCATCCAATGGACCCCCGTTTGCAGCCGGTTTGCTCTGGCAGAATTGCGTCGGCTCAGGGCTCACGGCGCAGCCAGCGTCTCTGGCCAGAGGGGGCTGCTATGGGGCCACAGCTCTGTTCCAGGGACCCCCGGGCAGGCCGATGCCACGTCCTTAGGATGACGACGTGAACCCTCCCCACCAAACGGGTTTAGTAGCCAAAGGCGAGCAAACTGCAAGATACACACGTTCTTATGTGCAAGGCGGTGCCTCTCCTCCCCCAGTGGCTCTGTGCTACTGCCAGGCTCCCCCAGGACCTGCCGTCCTCCGAGCTCTAGCTGGCCCTCCCTGGACCGACCGGGCCTTGGTGCCCTGCAGCGACCCGGTGACCCCAGAGGTTCCCCCCAGAGCCCTTCTCTGGCTCAGGGGAAACACCCCCCCCCCCTTGGCCCCCCCGCTGCACACCCCAAAGCCCCCCCCTGGCTGGCGTTTCCGCTTCATCAGCCCCTCTCCTCTCCTCTCCTCTCCTCTCCTCTCCTCTCCTCTCCTCTCCTCTCCATTCATGAGCCTTAATCATTAAGTACCAGCCTGGTGTATATTGGCTGCTGTGTGTTTTCGGTCAACAGCACCCAGCCTCCATTGTGTGTTTGTGTATCTCCCTCTTTGTGCAGGTCCTTTGTGAAGCTAATGGGCCTCCATTACCCATTCAAAACCAAGCCATCCCCAGATGCTTTGCATGTCAAGGGGGACAGAGCCCACAAACTGGATCCAGCAGGTCTTGCCCTGGGAGCTTCAGGGAAGCTGCTGCACTGGCCCGTTGCCCATTCTAGGGCAAAGCACCCCACCTCCCTGCCCTGCCGCCCCAGCCCCTGGGAGTGCAGCCTCCAGGGTTTCTGGAAACAAGAGTACAGAAAAGAGGAAAAATGTAAAAGAGAAATGAGAGTATCAAGCACACAATTATATACATTCGCAACCTAGCAAATCACCCCCATTTCTTCTCTGTTTTTCTGTCAATCACTGTTGGAGCTTGCAGAAAAGATAACTGCGATTTTCTAAACCAATAATTTTTCCAATCACATCCAGTCAATTATAAGTCGTCAGCAATATTTTTACAAGTTTCATTTTGTTCTGCATTAATTAATCTGCATATGGTAAAATCTCCATTTATCATTCAATCATTTGCTTGCTCTCTTTTTATACAATTACTTAGTTGTGCTGTCAGTGCAGACTGCCAATTTATTTTTCCAGTCTTGATTGTTAGGCATTCTTCTATTTTCCATTTAAAAGCAACTGTAACTCTGGGTGCAGTGGTCGTTTACCTACATAACTCTGGCCTCTTCTTTGGGAAGTCTCTGGTACAGCATTCAAAATGAAAAGGTGATGGAAGACAACTAGAAGGGCTCTTCTGTTGCCAATTGGCTTCTAATTAGAACAGGAAATCCAATCAGGGGAGGATCCCAGGAGAGACCTGAGCTGATGATGCAGCAATAGGATTATTCCTTAGGATGATTACAAGTAACTGTTTGCAAGCAATTACTCCCATTTGATACTGAAACTCAACAAGTTGACAAGTGGTGATAATTCATTCCCCAGCGAGAAACTTTATGGAAGAAGGGGGGGCATTGAATTGAATTGAATTGAATTGAATTACGGCCAGTGCAGTGCTAAGGGAACACTGGCCTGCAGCTTGCATCAGCCCCAGCCAGAGCGGCCCCTGATGCGGGCCAGGCACCAGGCGAAGGGTTGATCCACTCAGGCCTGGGGCTTTCCACTCCCCATCCTGTCCTGCACCATGAGCCCAGCCCATCCATCAGCCTCGGAGCAGTGGGGAGGATGGTGCTCTGTGGGGTGGCCTGGCCTGGGGGCCAGGGGTGGCCTGGCCTGGGGGCCAGGAAGGCCTGGGGCAGTGCGTCTGGCTCTGAAAGGGTGGAAACGTGTACGTGGGAACACGTGCAGAGGGCTGCGCACCGCGGGCCCCCGGGCCCCCGCCTGGCCCCTGCGTGCGCGGAATGCTGCTTGCGGACGCCTGTGCAATGGCCGAGTGGAGCCCTGGCGTCTCCTCGCCGGGGCAAGCAGCACGGAGGGCTCACGTCTCTCAATCGGCTGCTTGGCTCGTGCACCCCAAGCGGGGGCGCTGGGGGGCACTCCCAGCGGGGAATTCTGCTGACCGGCAGTTTCCTCAGCTGCCCCAGTTTGGCTGCTTGTGGGACAACCGTTCCTGTAAAATACTTTGATTTGGCCCTCAGCCAGAAAAGCCCCGTGTACCTTGCATGAGATCAGCGAGACAAGATAATTGTGGCCTCAGACGATTGTCAGTGCACAGGACAAGGGAGCCGAGGGGGCAGAGATGAAACCAGGTGGAGTGGCTCTGCTCCCCCCACCCCCCCCACAGCCTTCTGAATTTCCAGAGTCGACTTGGGCAGTGCTGGAGGCAGCGAGAAACCTTGTGGGTGCCCCAGCGATCCAAGTCCTGGCTCATTGTTCTTCCACAAGGATTTGGAAGGGGAGTTAACACAGGACAGGGACGTCCCGTACAGAAAGCATTATTCCATACAGAACACTTCCCCATAGGCAAGGGCGATCCTCCAAGAGGAGGCCTTTAGTCACGTGTAAATGCGGCTCCCCAGGACCGGGCGAGAATGGGCCCCCTCGCAGGGTCAGCCATGTGGCGGCAGCCTCCCCGTTCCCAAGGCCTGCTGCAAAGGGGGCAGCCCATGGCCAGCACGCCTTGTAGCTGCCGACGGCCACCTCCCTCAGGAACTCCCCCCCCCCAAGCCGCCCTGCCTGGGCCTGTGGCCAGTTCCTGTGGCTGCAAATTCCACCTGGTGCCGCGCGAGGAGGCGCCTCCTCTCGTTCGTCCCGAATGGGCTTCCTGGGGGGACCTCGCTGGCGTCTCGCTTTCCTTTCTCCACGCCAGGCATGATTCTGAACTCCTCTGCTGGGTTGCTCTGGGCTCCCCCTTTTCTAAGCTACGTGGTTCCAGGGGCGGCAGGGGCGCCTCACAGGGGACTCGCCCAGCCCACGCGTCAGGCCTGCCGCCCTTCCCCGTGCCTTTTCCAGGCCATAATGTCCCTCCCAGGTGCTTTTAGAACTGCGCACAATACTCTCGAGTGTGGTCACACCATCGGTTTGTGCCAGGAAAGTGCGGCCTTGGCAGTTCTCTCGTCAATTCCTTTCCTGATCGTGCCCGGCGTGGAGTGCCCTCCTTCACGGTGGCTGTGCACTGGGCCGCGTTTTCATCACACTGCCCTTTCCCGCTCAGCCGCCACTCGCTGGCGGCCCACCAGCCTGGGCTTGAAGGTGCCCCGTGGGCATCGCTTCACTCCGCTCCGGGCTACCTGAGCGGCCAGTGGGCTCCCAGGGAGGGCCGGGGCGTCCCCTGCAGCAGCCAGGAGATGCAGACGTCGTGCCTGGGGCCCGGCAGGGAAGGCAGTGGCTGCGAGCGAGGCAGGAGCACCCCGGCTTGCGGGACTGGCCCCGGTGCTGTGGGGCGCCCGGGAAGCCTGGTGATGTGAGCAGGATTTGGGGACAGGGCTGCAGCCCCAGTGGGCCGGCTTGGAGGGCTGGTGCCCCGGGGGTCTTGCCCCGGGGGCCTGGGCAAGGTGCTCACGCGCTCCCGCCGGGCCCCCCCTTCCCGCAGGGAACATCCGGGTCCTGTGCCGCCTGAAGCCCCTGACCCAGGAGGACCAGCAGGAGGGGGCCGGCGCGGCGGTGGAGGCCGGCCCCGCGGATGACGGCTGCGTGAGGGCCTGCTACAAGGGCAAGGAGCGCACCTTCCGGCTGGACAAGGTCTTCCTGCCGCAGGCCACCCAGGAGGAGGTGAGCCCCCACGAGGCAGCGCGCGGGGGCCGCGGGGCCAGGCCTCTGCCCACAGGGCCCACCCCACGGCCCAGCAGCCGCAGCGGGGGGGGGCACAGCGGGCGAGGGGTTGGTGTGCTAAGCACAAGCCAGCGGGGGCTGGGATGGGGGGCAGGCCCCATGGCAGCTGCGCACCCCAGGCCGGGTGCTAGCCTGCGGGGGGTCAGGGAGGGGCTTCCGGAAGGGAAAGGCCCCAGGGATGCGAACCACCTGGCTTGCACCATCGCAGCTTGGCGGCACTCTGCCCATGCTGAGGGCGAGAGGGGGCAGGGAGGGAGGGTCCTGGAAAAGGCAATGGGGAGGAAACATGCAGAGGTGGGGGCAAGTTCCGGGGGGGGCGCCTTCCTGCCCCCAGGAGAGGGATGGCCTTGGGGCAGTGGCCCTCCAGCACCTGTGGCCCTCTGCTCCTCAGAGCTCTTTGTCCCACTGGGGGGCTGCACTCAGAGGCCGTCCTGGCAGCAGGCAGCCACCTGGGAAGGGCCAGGGCATCACGGGCCCTCCGGGGCCACGGGAACCACCAGAGCAGCGGGAAGGGCAGGGCAGGGCGCTTGGGGGTCTCGGTTTCTGGCGATTTCCGGGCCAGCCCAAGCAAAGGGCAGCTGCGCCAGGCGGGTACCTCCTGGCAGGGCTGGGGGCTCTTCCCTTTGTCTCTCCGCCCTCAGTGAGGTGCAGAGCCGGAGTCTTTGGGGCAGGGGGCGAACCAGCCACTCTCGGGCAAGAGCACGATCCGCCCCGGTGCAGCTGTGGAGATGCTGGGATGCCGGAGGGATGAGCCCGACTCTCCGCCTTCGGCCCCTTTTGGTTTTCCTTCCACTGCTCTCTTTGGCGGAGGACCTGTGGGGGGGGTCCTGCTGAATCTCCCCCTGCCAGCCAGCTTTCCGATCCAAAGTGCCCCGTACCCTTTCCTGCCAGGGCACGTGTGCACGCGTGTGGAGGGGTGCTCTGAGTTGGCAAATGGTGGGGGGGCTGCCCCCTCACTCCCCCCACCTCCCAGCTGCCCGCTCGGTCTCCCAGCTGCCCGCAGCGGCGTTTCCTCCGTGGCGGGGGAAGCGTTGCAGGAGCCGGCCTGAAGGGCAGTTTGCCGCAGGGTCCGGCGGAGCTGGTGGTCACTCTGCTTGCTCCAGGGGGCCATTGGCCGCAGCCCCTTGCACAGCCCAGCGGGCAGGAGCACCTCCCGGAGCGGAGGGCTGTGTCCCCGGCCAGCAGGTGGCACCCCCCGGGCCTGGCGGGCCGTGGGTCTGGGCACGGCCTGACTTGGCCCCGCCGCTCTGTGACCCCTCAGCCCCCAGGTGCCGGCCAGCAGAGGGACGCTGTGTTCCGGCAGGACAGCCGGGGCCGTGCCCGGCCCCACAGGAGGTAACCCCCACTCCGAGCCCCACCTTGCACGGCCAGCGGCCACCTCCCCCCCTCACTCGGACGCACCCCACACCACGGCACCTGCACCCCAGGAGCACTGCCCTGCACCCGCACCCTCGCCCTCGCCCCCGCCCCGGCGGGCAGGGCTCAGGGCCGCGCGCTGTCTGCCCGCAGGTCTTCCGGGAGCTCGAGCCGCTGGTTGCGTCCTGCCTGCAGGGCTGCAGCGCCTGCGTCTTCGCCTACGGGCAGACCGGCTCCGGCAAGACCCACACCATGGAGGTGAGGGCGGGCGGCCCCGGAGCCCCTCGATGGCCGGGTGTGTCTGGGGCGCTTGCGCGGGCACCACTTCAGAGCTCCTGCACGAAGGGCGCCCGGGTCACGCGGGCCCACGGACGTGGCCTGGAGGGTGGCCCGTGCCCGGCCAGCGAAGGCTGGCGTGGCTGGGCAGTTTGGTCCATGGCCGGCCTCTCGTGGGGCAGCGCCCAGCCGAGGGGCTGAGCACTCGCTCCCCTCGGGGCCTCCGCTTTGTCTTGGGTCCAGGGTGTCCCGGGTGACCCGGGGATAAACCAGCGTGCCCTGGAGGCCCTCTTCCGGGAGATGGAGGCCAAGGACGGGGCCTGGACGTTCTCCGTCAGCCTCAGCATGGTGGAGATGTACAACGAGGTGCTCAGGTGAGCGCCCCCCCCCCAGCGTGCGGACCTGCCCTGCCTCTGGGGCAGGGAGGGAGCAGGGCGTTGCTGGAGGCGTGGCAGCGTCCCGGTCACATCTTCTCAGGGCAAACGGGGCGGGGGGGGGGAGCCACGGCGCTGCGTCAGGCGGGCTCTGGGGCTGCTCTGCCCAGACTGGCTGCGGAGGGGTCCCTGGGGCCTCACGGCGGGGAGAGACGGCAGGGCACAGGCGAGGGGCCCCCGGATGCCGCCGGGCCCAGCTCCCTCCACGCAGCCTGGGCTGCATGGGCGCAGCAGGCCTCTCCCCGAGCTCGAGGGATGTGGGGGGGGACTCGCGAGAGATGCAGCTGGCTCTGGGAGCGCCTGAGTCTGCGTGGAGGCATCTGCCCCTTGCGCTGTTCTGCGCCTCCCCGTTTCGCTGCAGCAGGCAGCCTGTCCGAGCAGCGGGGCTGGGTCTCGCACGAACGCGGCTGGTCTATCTAAGTTGTACGGCTTATTTCTATTTCCTGTAATTGGGGCGGGGGGTGGGGAGGAAGTCACTGAATGGCCGTCCTCAGGGATGTGGGGACCTTGTGGGGCAGCTGTGCTGAAATCCCATGGAGCCCTTTCCGAGGCGATCGTGGGGCCGCAACTTCTTTGGAATCGGGTGCCTTGTGCCCGGCGCTTGTTGCGTCGTCTCCCCGCAAGATGCAGGCGCGGCTCCGCTGAACTTGCGCGGAACCGGTCCAGGCAGGCCTAGCCGTTCAGGTTCTGACTAAAACCAAAGTCCACCTGGCTGAAGAGCTCGCCTTCTCCTCCTGCCTCTCCAGGAAGGCAGCCAATCGAGGCAAAGGCCTTTGATGCCCCTGCCAATTCTCGCCTTCGTGTTTCCGCCCTTAAGGGGCACCGGGGTTGTGCCCGGGTGGATCAGCTCTTGGAAGCAACACCAAGCAGCAGGGTGTGGCATCTCCCGATCTGTGGAGGAATCAGGGAACCAGGAGGGCCCAGGATAACACAACATCGTGTTGCAGAAAAGGGCGTGATTCCGCCCTGCAGAGCCTCTTCTCTGCCTGGGAGGATGACATGAGGGAGGGTCCCCCTTAGCCCCGCCTGAGCGGTTGCCGTTTTCTGCCACTCAGCGCTGCAGAGCAACCCTGTGGCCACCGCCTGGCCGTGCCGGTCTGCAGGCCCGCTGTGTCTGCCCCACTCCCCGTGCTGCCTGGGGGGCAGTCCCAGCTCCTTCCCCCTGGATTCTGATGCCACCGTGCGCCTGCTGCTCCGGAGTTGCCTGCCTGGCTAAACAAATGCCCATTTTGTGCCTGTTAGACCCTTTTCTTCCCAGCAACCTGGGAGATCAGGATCCGAGAGTGTGCGAGCCTCCCCCTCCCTCTCTTTAGGGACCTTCTTGCCGTGGATCCCCAAGAGAAACTGGACGTCAAGCTGAACCCGGACGGGAGTGGCCAGCTGCACGTCCCGGGCCTCACCACCGTGGAGGTGCACAGTCTCCGCGAGATCCAGAAGGTAGCCGGGCCGGGCCGGGCCGGGCCGGGCTGCTGGGGCTGGCTCCGCGAGGGTAGGGCCGTGGCGAGGGCAGCGTGTGGCGTGGCGGAGAGACAGGTGTCCCTCCATGGTCCGCCTTGTGTGGCCCCTTGGCAGGAGGATGGGGTTAGGGTTAGGGTCTGCTCCACGGGGACGGATGGGACTGGCGCCTGGTCCAGGGCTAATCCCGGCCAGGCCTGTCTCGCCCGGGGCCAGGATGGACCTGATGTCCTCCTGCTGCCCGGGGCACCTGGCTCTCCTGATGGGGCACTGATGCTGCCCCCCCCCCCCCCCCGCCCAAGCCGTCTGAGATAAGCTCCTTGCTTATCTCTTGCTTATCTCTTTCCCCCCATGCTAATCACCCTGCAAGGTAGGCCAGGCTGGGAGTCAGTGGGTGGTCCGGCATCCCCCAGGGAGCTGCAGGACCAGGCGGTGGCTGGTGGGGGGTCTCCCTTGCCCCAGTGCGACCCACACACCATGCCACCAGGCCTGCCCCCGTCACCTCCCAAGGTGCTGCTGGCCTCTCTGGGGCAGCATTGCGTGCAGGCGGGGGCAGTGTGCAGCCCCCAGCAATTGGGCCTGGGGGAAGCCCCGGGAGGGATGTGTTAAGGCGGCAGCCAGGCCAAGCTGCTCCAGAGCTCTCACCCCCACCAGCGAATGGACCCTCCTCCCCCCTCCCCTCCCCTCCCCTGCAGCCTCAATGCTTGAGGGCCCCCTCAGCGTGGCCCCCGCTCTGCTTCTCCCCCAGATGCTCTCGGTGGGAAAGCGGAACCGGGCGACCCACTCCACCTGCATGAATGAGCGCAGCTCTCGCTCCCACGTCCTGCTCACCGTCACCGTCACCGGGACCGAGCTGGCCAGCGGCACCAAAGTCACAGGTAGCACCGGGCCCCGTCTAGGGCAGGAGGCCCAAACCTGTGGGGCACGGAGGCGGCCGTGGGCGTCCAGGAGCAAGCATGCTGCGCCCCTCTGGGGGTCGGGGCGAACCCAGCACAGGGCCAGGCGTTGCCCTGGCCCACTCGGCCTGAGTGGCACGGGCCCCCGCAGCGTTGCCCGCCTGGGCCGCGGCGTGGGTGCGCAGGGCAGAGGGCCAAAGGGCCCAACGCCGGCAAACTGTAGCCCCGAGCCCCAGCAGCCGGGAACATGGCTGGTGGCCTCCAGGGCGGGAGGAGGCCCTGCACAGAAGCCGGGACGATGCCAGGGGCTGGGGGCGGGGGGCCGGGTGGTCGGGGTACCCTGGCGGCCTGGGTTCGGCCCCGGGGCAGGCCTGCAGTCCCCTCCTCTGCTCTGGCCTCTCAGGCCGAGACTGGCCATCTTGCTCCTGGGAAAAGGGCCGCTCCCCCCCGCAGTGGGCAACCCGGCAAGGCTGGCGTGGCCCCTTCCCTGGCACGGCTTTTCTCCCTGGCGCGTGTGCTCCCAGCACCTTCTCGGCTGCGCCCAGGACCCAGTGCCACGCGCCTCTTGGCTGCCCGCTGTTCTCACGACTCTCCATGGCCCCTGCTGCCAGGACGGGTGCCCCGACCCTCCACACCGGCCACCCCCTGCGTGCGCTGGAAGCCCCCGGCCGAGTCGGGCTGCAGGGCCGCATCCGGCGGAGGCCGCCCGGGCTTTGCGGCTCATTCCCGTGCGCTCTGGTGCCTCGCAGGAAAGCTCAACCTGGTGGACCTGGCTGGCTCCGAGCGGGTGTGGAAGTCCGGGGCCCAGGGCGAGCGGCTGAAGGAAGCCCAGAGCATCAACAAGTCCCTGCTGGCCTTGGGCGAGGTCATCCAGGCGCTGCGGGCCAGGCAGGCCCACGTGCCCTTCCGCAACTCCAAGCTCACCTACCTGCTGCAGGACTCCCTGGGCAGGGGGAGCCGGACCGTCATGCTCGTGCAGGTGAGGGCCGCGGCCACCGGTGCGGGGGGGGGTGAGGATGCCCCAGTCACGACAAAAACGGGACCGGCCTCTACGCCCGGGCAGCTCATGCCCCTGTGGTGGACGTGTGGAGGGGGTGCGGCCCCCGCCGTCCGGGCCGCCAGCCTCTCGCACTTCTGGGGCCACCCCGTAGCCCCACGGAGCCCCCTGCCCGCCCGCCCGCCCGCCTGCCTCCGTTCTCGCTGAGCTTCACGGGCACATCCCGTGGGAGCAGCGGTGCCCGGGGCCCGCTGCTCCACGTGCTGGATCCAGTCGCAAGGGTGTCCCCCAGCTTGCTTCCCGTGCTGCCGAATGTTCAGCACGCAGGTGACCCCCCCCTCCCCAAATTCCTCTCTGTCCAGATTTCCCCGCTGGAGAAGAACATGGGAGAATCCATCTGCTCCCTCAAGTTCGCCCAGCGAGTCTGCAAGGTGGAGCTGGGCCCGGCCGCCCGCCGCGTCGACTCCTCTGCGCAGCACGAGCTCTGAGCCCCAGGAGCCGCTGCTGCCGTGCGCCAGACGAACGGGTGTGGGGGGAAAGCAGTGGGGGGCACGGGGGGAGGGCCCGGCCTCCCCAGGGATGGCGCCCTGTCCTGACAGGCAGGTCCTGAAAGCAGAGAAGCGCCATCCCGCCAGAGGATGACCCCCCTTCTTCTAGGACCGTGGCCCAAATAGCCCCCCACCCCCTGCCTTGCCCCTGCCCCCAGTCCCCTGCCTTGTATAACGAGCTGCAGCCCAGCCCCCCCCGCCCCGCACGATTTGGTCTTTCTGGTGTTCTGCGTATTTCTGGTGTCTCCCTTTCCTGCAAGATTCTGCACTTTGTCCCTCGGGCATTTTCCCTTCGTCGGCTCCTGAGCGTTGGAACGGCCAGGGGGAAAGGGGGCAAGAGCCACCCCCCCGCCTGCCGGTCCTGCACTGCCCCCCCCCCGGCAAAGCCCCCTGCCCGAGAGCTCATGGCTCTGCCTTCTCTTGGCGAGGCGGGCTCGGATCCTGACACAGGGGTCTGAGTGCCAGGCCCCTCCGGGCCCCCAGCGCTGCGAGGGGGCCCCTCTCCCCCGGCCCGGCTTTGCTCCCGTGTGCTTGGAAGGCACGCTTAGTCTCTGCTCCCGCACCCCCTTCCGCCTCCCCTTGGGCCACACTTGCAGCCCGCCTGGCCAGAGATGTGCATTTGCCCCAACGCTCCCAGCATGTTGGAAGCGTGGGGTGCCCCCCGGGGCCGCTTGCCGTGGGCTGCTCCAGCCGCTTGATGCTCCGCCTCCGAGGGTGGGGGGGGGGAGCAGGTCCAGCCCACCTTCTCCCCCCCCAGCTCTGGCACTGCAAGAACATGCCAGGCGGGGCCATTCGGAGCCACCCTGGCATGAGGGCAGCTCCCAGACAGCTCTGGGGGCTCCCTGCCCCCCAGGCATCTGCGGGCTGCCACACTCCTGCTGCCTGGACCAGGCTCCCTGCCCTACTGGGTGAAGGAGCTGCCTCCCCAGGACCCGGGGCACCCTCTAAGTGGCCCCTTCCCCGGGCTGGTCTTCCCACCTGGCTCCCGTCAAGACCTCCCGGCCTTGCGCTCTCTCGGGGGCTTGGACTGCGGCCCCCAGGACCCCTTGACCGAACGTTCCCACCCCACAGGGAGGAGCTGCTCTTGTCCTGCGTTCCCCTGTATGGGGCCAGAACCCTCTTCCCCCGTTTTGACTGTGGGGTTTCCAGTAACTGCAAGCACGGAAGAGCACTGGGTGCCACCCCAGAAACAGGCTCCCCAGCGGCTCTCAGACTCTGGGCCGGCCCCCCCCCCCCCCGCCCTTTTGCATTCAAACCTTGGTAGAGCGCCATGGGGGCGGGGGGGGGAGCTGGTTCGCTGCCCTGCCCCCTTGTCTTCATACCTCCTGACCGGGTTCTTCTAAGGGGACCCTCTTCAACCGGCTGGCTGTTCGCCGGAATAAAGGACCACTGCCCCATCTTAGCCTGTTGCCTCCTGACTTGGCGGGAGGGGGGAACATGTCGCGGGGGGGGGGGGGGGGAGGCTTCGGGGGGTGGAGGAGGCTTCAGCTGCTTTCAGGCCAAGGGGCCGGGGAGCCCTGGGGGCGAGAAGCTGCTCTTTCCCAGGGTCCGATGGACTCCGCACTCACGGCACCAACCGGGCCTGGCAGCTTGGGCAGAGTCCACCTCATCCTTTCGGGAAGGGCCACGGTCACCCCCCCCCCAGCTGGACCCCCCCTCCGAGTGCCTCTCGCTTGCCCCTTTTGCTTTGGGCAGCGTTCAGGAGGGGGCGCCCCTGCTGTGCCCTGGGGGGACGCAGCGCCCCACCCTCCCCGCAAGCCCAGTGCCTCCGCAAGGTAGCCACCGCAGCCTCCACCCCCCATCCGTGTTGCCAGGGCAGGGGCCGGGCGGAAGGGGGCCTCCCCCTCCTTGCAGTGTCCAGAGTGCCGGCATGCTGCAAGGGAACCCAGGGAACATGGGTGGCCAGCAAGCCCAAGGTGGGAAGGGATCTCCGGGGCCATCTAGTCTGACCCCCGGCTCCGCTCACCACATCACACCATGTCTAGCCTAACTTTGAAGGCTGTCACCGATGGGGCCTCGAGCACCTCCTGGGGAAGCCCATCCCACACCCTCAGGGTCCGACCCTCAGGAGGGCTTCCTGGCTGAAGAACTGCAGGGCGCTGCTGACGGGGCCTAAGCAGCCTTCCCAGGGCTTGGGACAGTGTGCCCCTCCCCGCATTGCAAAGCAGGCCGCCTGCCCAGGGCCATGCAAGCCAGCTAAGAGCTTTGGTCAGAATGGGACCAACAAGTGCTCCACTCTGCAGGAAGAGACTGACAGTGAAAGCAGAGAAGTGTCGTTATTTTTCAGAAGTTTTATTTAAATTAGATCTTGACTGGCCACCAAACAGCACAACCAAGAGTAAAACACAGTTTAAGGCACCAGAATGGAACCACACAGGGCCTGCCACGACAGTTGTGGGTCCCCCCTCCCAGCCAGGATCCCAGAATGGCTCCAGATTCCCCCCCCAGAGGGGGGGCAAGGCCCCCGCCTGGTCAGCTGACGCAGGCAGCTGCAGGGCCGGGGGCTGCTGCTGAAGGGACCACAGGTGTTCACCCTACGGCACAGCCAAAGAGTGACCCTCCCCCCGAAGCACTTTCTGCAAGGCGTTTCCAAAAACCTTCCAAAAGAAGGTTTCCAAAAGAAATACGGAGGGGCTGAAAGTCGCCTGCGAGCTTTCACAAGGGCTTTGGGAAAGAGAAGCCCCTGCCCGCCCGTCTAGGGGACGCAGCGCCCCGCTTCACAAGTGGTAGCCGTAGTGGGGCAGGGGGGGCAAGGAGGCGCAGAGCACTGGCACCCCCAGCACGGGCTCTGCGCCGAAGGGGAGCCCCGGGCACGGCGCAGGCGGCGCGACCAGCGCGGCCACCGGGCCAGACAAAGTGCTGCTGAAGCAGGTCCCGTAAGA